CTTACAGGTTCTTGATTTTCATGAGATGAGTAATGCTGGCAATCGCCTTGTTTCAGCTCTTTCTTTGGTTTGTTTCCTTTTTCTTCCTTTTTCTTTTGTGGGTTAGTTATCATGCTGATAGATTTTTCTAAGTAACCGGTTTTGGCTCCTGGATTAATGTAAGAAGGAAAAGTGAACTGCTTTAGTTTGTTTTTTGGAAATTTGGAAGCATAATGTGAGTGGAGAAAGATGTAATTTGGGTCCCATATGAAAAGAGGGGCTGAAAGATAAAACTAGTCCTATTTTGGTTTAAGTAGATGTTGTATGTTGTATAACTGTAAGTCTGCAGCTCTTTGGTGCTGTTAAGATGGTCGTAGCACCTTCTACTACAGATACTAGTAAAGAGAAGGCCAATATTTATGTTGGACATAACCCATGTATCGACGGGATAAGAACCGGAAATCACTTGGTCTTAGCACCTTCATCTTAGATGCTCACCACTAGTCTAGGGTTCATTGGCTTCTTTCTACCTTTTTTGTCAAATAATAGGAACACTAGCAGGAACTAGTTCCATCTGGTGCAGATACTAGCGAGGATAATACTCATTAGGTGATTTCTTCTCATTTGCCCAAATCTTGGCGGGTGAGTTACCCGGTACTTGTGTTGGTGGGAGGTAGCATGTACCCCGTGGAATAATTGAGGTGTGCGCAAGCTGGCCTGGATATCACCTTCATCCCAAAAAAGTGATGTCTGAGTTGGACATAAAACCGTACATTGACAAAGGCCGCAGATGTTTGTCTTAGCCTCCGTCTTAACTGATAACTAGGCCAGTCTTCATTGGTTTATGTGCTATTCTGTTAAGTTGGTGATGAAAAGAAGCTGTTTATAAGAATGAGTTTCTTTAATTTAGGGAGACAGGTCTTTTATTTGTCTTATATTTTGTTTTTGCAGCCGAGATATCGCAATGTGAAGCATATCAACCTTGAGTTTGCACAGGATATTGAAGACAAGCAACTGGAAATTGTTAAAAGCAAGGTGGGATTGGCAAAGTCATATAAATTAGCATGTTTTCATAGTTTCTTCTTTAATTTCCAGTCAGTACAAATTCCAATGTGGAGGCTGCCTCATTTGATTAGCACCTCTGACCTTATTATTTGCCACCATCTACTTGGAACCATTTTATAATCCTCAGAAAGTTAGAAGTGATCCTTTTCCTTGTTATCTTAACAGCTTAGGTGATCTATAATAGTGTCAAAAATTGAGGAAATTATTCAGATCTTATCATCTAATGAAGATAACTAAAATTTTGCTTAATCCTTGTAATATGAGGTAACCAATTACTTTTAGTGTCTCCTGCATGGTACTGTTTTGGTCACAGAAAATTTGATGTTTCCATGGTTTCATAAATCTGCAGTGTGGGAATTCCCTTTTAAATCTGGAGATTCTAAATCTAAATGGCTGTCAAAGGATCTCTGACAAGGGAATCGAAGTAGTGACAAGTACTTGTCCTAGACTGAAGGTCTTTTCCATTTATTGGAATGTAAGGTATCTCAAGCTTCATCTAATGCTCTTTCCCGATTTATTATATAGCTGATGCATGACCAAAGAGATTTAATTTGTCACCTGCAATTTTTGGATAAGCTTTTAGGGTAACAGATGTTGGCATTACTCATCTGGTCAAGAACTGCAGATCCGTGGTAGATTTGAACTTAAGTGGCTGCAAGGTACATAGATTTCTAATGTGTTATACATATGTTTCAGTATTATTTTATGAGCATGTCTTGCGTCAACCTCCAGAAGCACCGGTTCATAGGTGTGAGACCATGGTGATTTAAGCTGTTAACAGAGGGACGAGATAGACCTTAAATCACAACGAAGGAAGTTGCTTTGAAAGACCTACAATTTCTTGGAATTTATGCAGGCTTAACAAAAAATAGGGAACAACAGAAGAAAAAGATCCATACAAGCGATACCAAATTACCAATTAGTTGGGCTTAAGGCTTAGTCATGTTAGTATGCTCACTTTAGGTCCAATGTTGTATAGGAGTCTTTTTAATCTTGTTAGATATTTGTATGCTAGAGAAAATGCAGAGAACATATAGTGTTAGAGAACCTAAATATTTGATATTTGATAAAGACTGGCCTAAATGGAGCGACATGGATATGATGATTCATATAGTCAATCCCAACTATGCTGGGATTGAAACATAATTATTATTGATGTGTAAATCGACTTCAGCGTTCTTTGTAAATTATTATTCGTCTAAAATGCCTAAGACTTCATTTTTTGGGTAAAGTAAATATCTCTATTGATGTTGGGAGAAAAAAGACCCTGTATACAAGCAATATACCAAAAAAGTAAAGAACCTAAAATGAAATATGGTTCTCTAATAAAAGCCACCCAATCATCTATACAAGTAGGGACCTGGTGGCTTCACCAAAACAAACTAAAAACACAAGGAGTGTCATTCTCGACCTGGTGGGCTGTTGGAGTTTATTTTTTGGACAACGATTCTGGCAGAAGGTTCTGGTATTTTCCATGGTACAATCCGTGGTTAAAACTAAGTAATGAAGTGAGTTTTAGGGCATGAAAGAAAGGCGAGGGAGAGAACATTTACTGGCCCAAAACGTCGATGGTCGGCGATCATTTTTGTGGCCGGCCATGACTAAGTCCGAGATTCCCCCGTTTCCTCTAAAAAATGGAGAAGAAAAGATAGCTGCTTCTTCTTCTTCTTCTTTGTTGGGACCCTCCCCTGCTTTTTCTTTTTCGTTCAGACCCCTCCCTCTTTTTCTTTTCAGACCCCATATCCCTAACCCGCCTCCGACTTCTTTTTCATTTTCACGGCGACTTCTTGTAGTAGCAGAAGTTTTTTGCAATAGTAGCAATTAACCATGGGCTTATATAAAATGTGGTTTTCAAGTTCTTTCATTGTTTATTCTTGGATGTTTATCAATTGGGATTAAATAGGAATGGGAGTTGGTAAATGATCTAAGAAAAGTGAGGAAGGAGGAGGAGGGTGAAAAGGACAAAAAACCAAGAGAAAAGCGTAATTTTAAGTCATTTACATGCTTAAATGTATGTGGAAAACACAGTATTTTCTATGTCAGTCTGAGGTGTTTACAAGAGTGTCTAAATGGTCCCTAGCTAAGTTGGAGTGCCTGACAAATCTTGCCAAGTTTAAGGGTCTATCTAGGCGTTTGGCCTTTAAAATTTGAAAAGTATAAGAGAAAAATAGTAAGTGATACTCTGCACACTTGCAACACAAGTAAAAAAGAAGCTCCTACTTTATCTAATGATAATATCATTTGATGCGGGCTCCTTGCATCTAAGGCTTGACACTTGTGCAACATAGGATACACTCAAAAGCTTTTTGTCTCCCTAAACCAACCTGATGCCAATATGTACTACATTCACTAGAACTTTATCATGTCCCTATTTACCTTATTGTAAAGTTCAATAGGAGCCTAGATAAAACAAGTTAGTTTTAAAGGAAAAGGGCCGAAATTGTCCTTTAACTATACAAAATAGAACGATTATGCCCTCCGTTTAAAGTTGGTAGTGATTTGCCATGCCGTTACCAATCGGGGTCATCCTTGCCCTTACTTACTAACATATCAATTTTATAGAAATTGTAAATCCTAGAAATTATTTTTCCCATTTTTTAAATCCACGTGGCATTTTAAAAATACCACCCCTTTCAATCTTTCTTCATACCCTACCACTCTCCCCCTTTCCTCTTTTACCATACCCCCTATTTCACACATATGAGGGCAAATATGCTCCTGGGGGTATAGTATAGGGGTATAAATGATCCAAATTAATACTTGTAGGCGCACATCTCTAAACAATAGAAGGTATCACTATGAACTTGTTGCTACTGGGAATGGCAGGATGAAGACTTCGTCTAAGAGTTGCAAGCCTCATATGCAATTTAAAGAAGGAAAAAGAAACTCTTATTCGTGAAAGGAATGCTCTCCCAAGGAAAGTTGTTGATCTTGAAAATATTATGATACTAGTTGATCAAGGAGGAATAGAGGCTTTGGAATTGGAAAAAAATATTTTGACGACGGAAGTTGTTGATTTAGAGTCTTCAGATGTGGTTGATGCTAGGAAAAATGGAAAATAGCTAATTTAAGGAAAAATTGTCCAAATGTGGATGTTCATGTTTGTGATATTGGGCTGTTTTGTTGTGTTCTATGCATTTGGGGGGGGGGGGGTTGATATGTAATGTGAGTGTTAGTTGGGTGGGAAAATGATATGTAATATAAGTGTTAGTTTGACTTGTTTTTTGTATTTTATTTTGTATTCAAGCCTAATGTTGTTCAATGGTTCAATGAAGAAGTTCCTTTCAGTTGAATGTTATGTTTATGCTTGAGCTTCTCTGTTGGGATACTTTGATTGTTAAATATGTCTAAGGAAACCATACACGCTGTTAGAGATGCGACTACAAGTATTAATTTGGATCATTTATGCCCCTATACTATAAGCCCAAGAGCAGATTTGCCCTCATATATGTGAAATAAGGGGTATGGTAAAAGAGGGGAGGGCGGAAGTAGTGGGGTATGAAGAAAGATTAAGGGGGGTTGGTATTTTTAAAATGCCACGTGGATTTAAAAAATGGGAAAAATAATTTTTATGAATTAAAAATTCTGGAAAATTAATCCGTTTGTGGGGAAGGGCAAGGATGACCCTGAGTGGTAACAGCAGGGGCAAAATTACTACCAACATTAAATGGAGGGTATAATTGTTCTATTTCGTATAGTAAAAGGACAGTTTTGGCCATTTTCCGTAGTTTTAATATGCTTTTCATTTATACAAGACAAATATGCTGAGGTGTTTGTGAAGTTCACTTCAAAACATTTCAAATTCTTCCTTTGCCTTTTTCTTTAGTGGTAAGTATAACGATCCAATTCTTATTTTGCTTGGCTGCTGTGTCAGTCTGTGATTTCTACCTCCTACATTCATTATCTTTGCCCTGAGCTGCAGGTGCTTTTCAACAGTTTAAGTTTGCAATATGCAAACAAGCTGCACTTGTTTCTCATTATGCAAATCCTCTGACTTTCATTTAATCTATACTCTTTTGTGCTGAAGATCGTCTCATTTTGTTGATATGCTATGCAGAATATTACAGATAAAAGTTTGCATCTTGTTGCTGACAATTTTCAAGAAATGGAATCCTTGAACATCACCAGGTTGGAGATTTTCTCTCAATTTGCAAAAGATTGTTCTGAGAGAGAAAGAAAAAGAAAAAAATGTTAAGGAAAAGTTGTTTTCAAATGTTATAGCATCTCTGGGATAGAAGCGTGCTCTCTCTTGGCTTTAGGCCTTCGTCTGTTGTATGGTGATGGTCTGATACTGATAAACCTCCCTTTCTCTAAGAAGGATACTTATAATTGAATATTTTTAGAGTATTGCTAATTGTTTGGTCTTTATAACCTTTTTGAGAGGGAGAGATACAATTACATCTTCTTGATTGTACTGATTTTGTTAGATGTGATTAGGTGCATCAAGCTGACAGATTCTGGTT